TTTTTTTTTTTTTTTTTATAATTCCTATCATAAAATGATCATATTTGCCTTTTGGGTCTTCTGCGTCTACTTTGGCTCTAAACGACCTTTTCTTTCATAGCAAACAAACATAATTCACATTATCACACATAAGAGAGAGAACAGGTTTTAGTGCAAACCTGACCGCATCTTTCAAAAATTGGACCATTTTTATTTTTGGCCCCCTACCCCTCCACCAATAAGCTTTTTTTAAATACACGTCCGTTTTCTCAAACTTTGTTCTGTTAGCAAATAGTCCCCTTCCGTCTATTTCCAACGGGTTTTGGCCAATTTTTTTGCTGTTGTGCCTGCAATTTATGAAGTTGAGTGTTGAATTTTAAATGGACCTCAGGTAGTTGATGGGAGGGAGTCCAGATCGTTAAGAAACAACTTAAAAAAAAAAAAAAAAAAAAAAAAAAAGCTTCTCTAAGTTGAGCAGGGGAAGGGTATTTAATACCCATTTATATTTCAACTGCCCTCCATCTAAAAACACATCAACAAAAATTGCACAAAAACTGACAAAAATGAACAAAAGGGGACTATTTGCAAGTGGAATAACGTTCGGGGAGGCAAACTGATTCATGTTGAAACTCGGGGGACAAAGTAACATTAGTGAGGAGCAAAAATAAAAGTAATCCACAGAAAGTTTTGTCCTTCAATATATTCTTTATTTTCCCACATCCTTCCCGCCAAAAAAAAAAAGAAAGAGTACAATTGAGATATAATTACTACAACTAAAAAAACCGTTTGTTTTCATCTAATCCTTGATATTGTTAGCATTCTACACCCTCAATTACTAGAGATGCTATTCGAGCATCATACAAATGCTGTGGTTTATCTTCTTGGCTTGACAAACTTGCCTCTTGCAGCTTTCTTCTCCATCTTTTCCCGTTTCTTCCTAGCTTTCTCATCCTCAACGCCATCCTATTTTGTGAAGGACCAATATGTATTGTACATCAGGTTATACTCTGAACAAAAACACTCTACCGCCATAAAACGAAGAAAGGAATTAAAGAACAGAAAAGAAAACCAGGAGTGATTACCTCTGAGCCTCGTGACAAAAATCCCTTAATGAAACCAAAAGATTGGTATGCTCCAAATGCCGGTATCTAGATATCAACACAAAAATGTTTCATCTAAAAAAAATTACATCCCTTTTTCTCTCATCCAAACAAAATATTCTAAAAGATTTTTTAAATTAGAACCAGAAAGTACATCTTTTGATGAAGCTGGGTTTAACGCAC